CACCAAAGAACTATTGTCCATTGAAGACCATGCAGGTTGGCTGCTCCCTGGACAAAGGGTCCATTACCAGCAGTTTAGTGCTCTGCACATGTGTATTGGCAAAAGACAAACAAGAGACAAGCCAAGGTGCTTTCAGAAGGCGGTCTGTGTAAGATCCCAGCTAACTGCTCCACATATTCTATCAGAGAAAGATCCACTGTCCTAGGAGAGAGATCCTTTTAAGGGATTTGAAATATTGTGCTATGACTCGACAAAATAATAGCCAGATTAGGGCCAAAAGGCAGGAGCAACCAGAGAGAATTGGGTTTAAAGAGGGATTCCAATTGCCGATTGGTAGAATCCTATAACGTGGGAACACCCTTCAATGTCCTAGTGGCTTCCCTGTTAAGGTTGGTCGCTGGCAGATCCAGTGGGTGTAGAGCACTGCTTGGCAGAATCCTTTGAGAACAGGAAAAGGACAGTAAGAGTTTGGAGGGTGTCAAGGACACTCAAGGGTATATTGAAAGCCCACAGAGGAAGACTTTAAAAAGTGGGTGCAATGGACAGGGGCGTATCTGCCAAGAGGCAAAACATTTTAGGTAGCCGGGGGCTGCACAAGAAACCGGCAGCCTGGCTGCCTAATGTGAACGGGGAGGAAGCGGCGGGCGGGGGAGCAGGAGGAGACCGGGGACAGAGCGGCAGCGCAGGAGGCAGGGGGTGGAGATAGAGGAGATGGGGGCGGAGATGGAAGAGGCCGGGTGAAGACTGAGGAGACTGAGCGGCAGGGGGCGGAGACAGGGAAGATGGGGCGGAGATGGAAGAGGCGGGGCCAAGCAAAGACTACAACGGAGGATACAAGACCAGAGACAGCGATGGAGGCGGCGCCGAGGCTCGGGCTGTGTTTACCGTGCCAGGTAGGAGGACAACTGTGCTGGCAGGGGCCAGCATAGGTTCTGCACAGTCCAAAGAGTCGCAGGTGGGCTGTGCAATACCTTTTGGTGGGCTTTGCAGTAGGGGGGCTCTGCAGCCTACAAATCCCACCACAGATCCTGCACAGACCCCATGAGATCCGGCAGACTGCAGGGTATCTGTGAGAGTCTTTGCAGGGTCTGTGGGGGGCTTTGCAAGATCTGCAGGGGGCTCTGCAGCCTGCAAAGCCCACCACAGATCTTGCACAGCCCCCCTGAGATCCTGTAGACTGCAGGGTTTCTGCATTATCTGTGGGGGTGTTTGCAGTATCCATAGGGGGCTCTGCAGCCTGCAAAGCCCACCACTGATATTGTACAGCCCCCCTGAGATCCAGAAGGGTTTCTGCAGGATCTGTGGGGGGCTTTTTCAGGATCCATAGGGGACTCTACAGCCTGCAAAGCACACCACAGATCCTGCACAGCCCCCGAGATCCTGCAGGGTCTCGGGGTCTCTGCATGATCTGTGGGGGGCTTTGCAGGATCCGTAGGGTGCTCTGCAGCCCACCACAGATCCTGCACAGCCCCCTGAGATCCAGCAGACTGCAGGGTCTCACTGCAGGATCTGTGGGGGGGCTTTGCCTGGTCTCAAGGGGGCTGTGCAGGATCTGTTGTGGGCTCTGCCCACCATAGACCTCGCAGAGCTCACCACAAACCCTGCAAAGCCCCCCTGAGACCCTGCAGAGCCCACCACATATCCTGCACAGCCCCCCGAGACCACAGCTTTGCTGCTACGCTGATAGCAGAACATGTCAAACGCTGGATACAGTGTGTGCACTGTATCCAGCGGCTGGCAGGTTACGCAAAAACTATTAAACAGGAAGGGGTTGGGTAAATTTAGTGGGGGGGGGCGCCCGAGTTTTGCCTTCCCTAGGGCATCCCCAATCCAGAATACACCACTGGCAATGGAATGGTCTTTAAAGCTTCGAGGGCTCGGAAAGACCTGTGAATCAATAAGACAATGCAACCTCTTAAATCTGGATTGATCGCAGAAGACTGCTACTCCTCAAGGATACACTGGTCAGAAGGAGATTAAGACAACTCAGGATAAGAGTCAGGAACAGTATCTAATACCAATGGCTCAGAAGCTGCAGGCAGATTTTGCGAGAGTAGAAGTGGGCGTGCGCTTAAAGCCTCGAGTCAACACCAGACACTGCATGAATTGGGCCACAAAGTCTTGTGTGACAGATTTGAGATAGACACATGTTGGGGCGAGGGGCGCTATAACACACACAGATATGTGCACATTGTAACTGCTGTACATATATGTATATGGGTATAACAGTTGGTCGCCGTTGCACAGCCACACGCAATTTAAAATCTTGAAGTATCAGAGCTGGGTGTGTTATATATAGTCCGTCCAACCCAGGAAGCAGCAATATTGTTTTAAGGAGGCAGCTCCATGGACAAGAACTAGAGAAAAACTCAAAAGTTAGGCACCAGCTGTAATTTTGCTGCAGCATTGGCTACCTGGGATTTGTGTAGCCCTGAATACTAATACCAAGAATACTACAAAAAAATGGAAATGTTAATTGTTTCTACACACAAATTAATTTAGTGTGGTCAGTCACAGAACAAGTGAATCAGAATTAGTAGTACCAATTTCAGTTTCACTTTGCTGATCTACAGTATACGCTTTTTCGCAGTCAGTGCCTCAAATACTGAAGTCAAACATAACCAGTCAACTATCGCTAGTTATAATTAGGTCAAAAAGGTTTCCTTCAATCTGACCTTTGTGTATCTATTGCAGCCAGAATCCAGAGCTTGCCTCAAAGGGTCATAGCATGTACATCCTGAAGTGTGTACTATGGCAGATGAACTGACTACAGGAGATAAAGGGACAGCGTCCTGTATCGCCAATGAGGCACAGGGTCGCAAACTGACCACACCAGCACGGATCTACTTCTGTGCTTGTTGTGGTCAGAACAAAAAGGGTAGAAGGGGAACTGGCAGAATCACCAGATATATTTCTAACAAACTGAAACACACACAAAAAAAAAAAAACATACCAAGACAAGCAGGCTACATTTATGAAAAACAAAATTTAAAAACCTGACATTCAATATACACACACACTTATTTTAAGATCGTTTTCCTATAAAATGATGCTCACCAAGCAGTTGGAGTCTGTGTAGGGAGGGGGGCTTTCAATATACAATGGTCACATCCAAGATAAACAGAAGAGGTTATTTAAAGTTTGTCCTGCCCATATTTGGAGACTTGAAGGATAAAATTATTCCACTTCAGAGAAGCTCTACTCTAATTACAAACAGTTGGCAAAATAATGACTAATCTACTACAGCTAAAAATGCTGTAGGAAGCTAGGAGCCAACTGCCTGTGTTAACATCTAAACACAATGTCAGGGATGCACAGTGACCATACAAATAAAGAGTCTAATTAACAAAGTATGCATAAATGTTGGGGCAGCATTGCATGGTGTTGAGCTACACCACCTGTTTCTGTTAATAAAGACAGAAGAGGGGTTGAGGATAAACATGTCACACCAAAGCAGTAAGTTCAGCCATGACAGAAGCAAACTTAAGTTTAATAGAAGGCTTTTTTACCGGAACTCAAGAACCTGGATGTATCTGAAGAAATATCTTGCAGAAAAATGCCAAATATTGCTTCTAGACCTCGAGTTTGTCGAGTGTAAAGAAGTCTATTAACCACCTTTGTACTGCCTTATTATAAAAATAAAAAACAGTGGGGAGGTGGATGTATATATCTGGAGTGTGGTTTATAAACACCTATAAAAACACACTTGGGCAGTCAATCCGTGGACAGCTCGGATCACAGTTATGACGTACAGAGCCAATCCGACTGGTTCTGTACCTTGCGAATGCTGTGAACCAATCAATCAGCTAATTTACAACAAAGGGCGCTCCTTTTGCTCAATCATGAATGAGCTGCATGTTTATAAACAAAAGCAAAAACATTTGAATGTTCAGGGGTCTTAAAGTGCTACTGACCACCAATGATGAGATCTTTGTTTTTTTTAGAAGGTGGTGGCAGTTTTGAGGGGAGATTGGTTACAGTGCTACTGACCACTAAGGATGGGCCGTGTGTTCGATTCGACCGTGTACATTCCATAATTCAAAATGCCCACTGAAGCTCTGATTTGTTAAAGTCTTGCACCTGACCTCAGGTCAGGTGCAAGACTTTACCTGATCAGGTCTCAGCGGAGGAGGGGCGTGATGGAGAAAGTTCTCTTATCAGGTCCCCCCATGCTGATTGACAGCAGGGAGTGGGCGGGTGCAATAGCCAGCTTGTTATTGGCTATTGCATTTTACAATATCCAATAGCATGCTGGGTATGGCTCCCAACCTGCAGACGGAGTGGAGGCAGGGGGGCGGGGAAAAGGAGCCGCAGCCGGACCGAAGAAGAGAAGCCGACGGACCGTCGGGACAGCGAGCGGACGGACCAGGGGAACGGGAAAGCAGCGGAGGTAAGGGGGGCAGTACACAGTATTTATTACACGTACCAGCAACTGTATAGGGGTCGAACATTCGACCCCCATACACTTAGAGTTCGTATTCGAACATTTCGGCCATTCGAATACGAACCGAACAGTGGGGTGTTCGGCTCATCCCTACTGACCACCAATGATTGCAGGATTATTTTTAGAGGTGGGGGTAGGGAAATTTGTAGTGTACAGGAGATAGCGTGCAAGAAAGAGAACGTTGGTTTGTGATTTGAGTGCAATTCACAGGAAGTGACAAGGACAGTACAACTTAAACAGCATTTTTGGGCATTTTCTGTACTTTTGGAACATATTCTTTGCCTGAAAAATGTAAAGTAATGCAGGCACCACATCTAAGGACTGGCAAACTGTGATACTTAACATTTTTATTCTTGACTTTAGCTATCCTTTACATTATGTTTCACAATAGCATGAACTTCTAATACTGTAAATAAACATTCAAAAAAGGACCATTTCCCATCAGTTGGAATTTTTCTGCAGTTCGATGCAGGAATGTTTTTCTCCAGGAATTGCAAGAGATTTTAGTTTTACTGCTCTACAATTCCAAACAAACTATTTAAAGCTGAAAAATTACCTTGGATGAAACAAGCCTTAGCAGTAACAGCTGTAGGATTGTAGGTATGCAATGCGGTACATCTGAAAGTAAAACAAATAAAACAAATATGAGAAGAAAAAAAAAAAGTGTCATACTGTAGTAACCAGTTTCTAATAACTATGTAGCTTTTGCTTAATGACACAGATGACATCTGCCAACAAGATTTCCGGTACTGCCATTTTAAAAAAGAAAGCAAATGCAATTGGTGCCATGGGTAATAGGTCCTATTTAGCACCGCTTACTGCTGTAATAGAACAAATGTTTTGGCCATACAGCAAAGACAAAGAATACAACTTGCTATACAATCTATTAAGTGCACAGCTTTGCCAACTACTCTTTATTTATCCTACAAAAAAAAAAAAAGTGTGCTCACCTACAACCTGGACACATTTTCAGGTTTATAGAATACACAAATGCATTCTGTGATTGGAGGAGGAGGGATGAGGTCACATCACGCCCGCTCCTGAAATCACAGACCCCCTGGTTTTGAGTTTGACTTTACGGTTTATAGGCACAGCATGGTGTGAAGCGGTTGTACTGCATCACGCCACACCGACTGAAAAAGATTTACTGCATGCACTACTATTTTCCTGCACACAAAATACAGTGTGAACTAAGCCCATTTAAAACAAAGCAAATTCCCTTGTCTGTGTCTAAGGGTTGCACTGGAAAAGATTGCCAGCACAGCGCCAATCTATGTGGTGTGAGGCTCAAAATAAAGCCGACTAGTCACCTAATTACATTTACATCTCGTAAAATAATAGCAGCAATGCGATTATTAATTTATAGTTGACAAACGGGCTAACATTTCCCACTAGGATTACAGCCCTGCAAGGTTAGGAGAGAGAGATTGAAATTGCAGCTGTTGCTGGAACTATTTTGAACCTCTTGATTAAAGAAAAATCTTCAAGGCTGGAATTGGTTTAAAAAAAAAAATAAAAAAAAAAAAAAGTGCGCATTTAAAATGTAGCACTGAAATGCATTGCTTTTACATTATGTGCTTACTGTTACAATACTTAGTAGGATTTGGGCCATGACACAAACACATCACATATGGTTTTACACATGCATTTTCCTTGATTTCAATGGAAAACGCATCAAGCAAAAAAAAATGTAAAAAGTGAATCCATCCTTAGGCAGTGCATAAAACCCTAGACAAAACTAAATTCTCTGCAAGCCAACTACTTTTCAACAGAGGTCACAACCATATACCCTGTTTCCCCGAAAATAAGACCTACCCCGAAAATAAGACCTAGTACTATTTTTGGGAATTGCTAAAATATAAGACCTACCCTGAAAATAAGACCTAGTTGTGACCATTCCCAGGGCCGCTGGTGGCATAAGGGGGAACTTGAAGAGCCGCGGGAGAGAATCAGCGGTGCCAATGAAGCCAGTGCTAGAGGAAGTGAGGCGACAGCGGAGGGAGCAGAGCCACATAAGCCGATGGCTCCTTTATAGCGCCGCCTCCTCCTGTCACAGGCGGTGTGATACCAAATGCACTCCGCCTGTGAGGAATCGATAGTGAAAGCGCGCTTCGCTCATTCTAGCCAGCGATTGGTTAGCAACTTGCTCTTGAAAAGGTACAGCACCCCTGATTGCCCTGATCACCATATTGTTGTACATGAATAAGTGTGGATTGTTGCACATTAAAAAAATTAATAAATAAGATCTACCCCGAAAATAAGACCTAGTGTGTTTTTTTGAGCCAAAAAAAATATAGGACAGTGTCTTATTTTCGGGGAAACACGGTACTTAGGCTTCTGGTGACCAGACTAACACAGGGGGAACCCCAGAGAAGTCCTAGGCTTTCAGCTCCAATTCGTCAGCCCACTTGACTCTTCAAGAGCAAAGATCTGAGACGCGGGTGGCGGGACAGATTTTACTCATCCTTTTTTGCAGGGAGTACTTTCAAATAGTTATGAGGTGACAGAATTGCTTTAAAGAAACATCAAATAAATTGAAAATTAGTATTTAAAATAAAGGTTTGAGTGTGCATGCATAACTACGCATTTGTAGACAGCGTAGAACATGGAGATGCCAAGCAGTTACTGATGGGCCATCGTATTTCTCCTGACCATTAACCATCTCCTGACCTGTGACTAACACGTTTTCATTACACAAGAGAAACTAGTGCAAATCACTTAAGTAAGCCATATCAGATATCATGAATAGGCATGAAAGAAAGATTCAAGATGGTCAGTGTTTAAATCAAACTGCAGAGATATCCTGAACAAATGGATTCCATCAACAGCTGTTAACCATCAACACAAAAATTTCTCCGTCACCATCTCACAACAGCTGGGGCTTAACTAACCATATTAGATCACAGATTTCTTAAACAGAAAATGACTACTGAATAGAAGATAACAGGCTGCATTAATTCCAAGACAACAAATGTCATCATCCTCATCCTGAAAATGGACAATGGCAATTTATCATATCTGAAAGCCAGCAGGTCAGAGAGCTGTATAAGCAACCAATTTCATACACTGCTTGCAATAAAACAAATATTTTTTTTGGCCTACGCTGTCACATACTGACTACCAAGAATGTTGGACAGCTGAAGCAAGCAGTAAACACCAGTTCCACTGTTCTACATATCATAATCAGCCCATAAGTTCATGGAAGTAATGTGCACAGCTACTTGACCCACAGAAGGCCTCTCTCATACCTAAAGAGATGTTTGTCATTTGGTAAAATGCACACACGAACAGAATAATGCTTTGCGTGAAAGTCTACATCCACTGACATTGCGGAGCGTTGGAAGTGCCCTCCATGCTGAATTTTGGTAAAGTGACTTGGATTTATTGGAAGTGGGGGGTTTTTAGGAAACAAATCTACTAAAATATCCTGTCAAAGCATTTAACCTGTTAGCTGCTGGGTAAATGTTTTGCATTTTCTACACTTATTTTAAAATGTATACATGTTAGGAAAACATAAGCCCGGTTCTTCTGGTTCAGTCACAGCAGAGATCAGGGAACAAGCTTCTACAATCTCACACACATACCACCTTTAGGGCCTGTTCACACGACATCCATTTTCTGTGCTGACCTGATCCGTACGCTCCTGCACTAAAAATGCATCCCTATTTATCCCTATGTTTTATGGGCTACAGTTCTCACGTGCGCAGTCCGTTCAAGTTACGACAGAAAAATACTGCATGTCACATTTTGTACGGTCCGGAAAAGCAAAACGCGTAAAAAACGCACTGCAGCTAACATACTGACAGCTCCACTCCAGCTATAAAAAAAAATTTTTTTTAACTGGAACGCATCCAAACACATAGCACCGCGTCGGCTGATTCGCAACTGATCAGGACCTGAAACTCATGTGAATAGGCCCTTAGGGACAGTTCACCAGCCCAAGGCTCCCAAAAAGAGGCAGGTGAGCCTGGGGAAAGCAGCCACATGGGGGAGTGTAGAAGCGGTTAGCCTCTAGATCCCTGGTTCTCAACTCATGGGTCGCGACCCAAAAGTGGGATGCGAGCCCTTCTGCAGTGGGGAGACACAGAGGGGGGGGATTTTCTGTCAGTCTAAGGGAACTCCGTGTTGTGAATCTATCCCACCCCGGCGTGGTGGATTGATATCAAATATGCTTAGTAGTTCAGTCTGCCTGGAAGATGAGAAAGGTAGGCAGGCAGGCAGGGGGATGTGTACAGTTTGCTGGATTAGCATTTGCAATATACAACCACATACGAATAAGTCAGGAGTAACACATCCCCCATCGCACACAGCTACATCCAATGCTTCAAAAGAACACTGTACCTGACTTTGTGTTGTACTCTCTCTTAGGCTCACCTATAGTGTTCTCAAATTCTTGTTTTTGTAATATTCTAAATATTGTTGCCCCAATACCATTGCAGTTTCTCTACATCAACAGATGTCCCAACTTCTGAACAAGCCCCAAGACAGAGCACAAACACTCCACTGGTTATTTGCTCTTCAGGACAACTGTTCAAGCGGCTTGTTAAGCTTCAAGAAAAACAAAAATGTCCCATAATAAACTGCTTGCAGTAAGAGGTTTTATTTGTAGAACACACAAGCAAAGTCTTTGTTGCACCGTGCTCCTAGCATTGCTTATTTTGTATATACACTGCACAGTACCATTGTTTAGCACTTCAAAAGCAGGGAGCTGAGCCTGCATGTCCATGGCAAATATGACTGTCTCCATGTGCATATAGCAATACAAATCCTAGAAAGAAACAAGGTTTGTAACACTGATGAGTAATCTCATAAAGCTGATCTTTTTCACCAACTTTATAGTTATTTTGAAGATATGTAGCAGCGGTCATCAATACTTTCTCAAATAAAGTAGCCTTTGAACTACATTCTCAACATAAAAAGTACCAGCAAGTGCTATTACACTGCAACTTTATACTTCAGTCCTTTCTACAAGACATTCCACTTGGTTCTTTCAGCTAGCCTCCTAACCAAGCCACCCACATTTGTTTATTCCAAATGCAAAATACACTGTTTGGTGGACAGTGCCGTACTGCAGTCCGTTTTTTTTTTTTACAAATTCATCTAAATTGAGTCTTCCTGCCCCCTAAAGTAGAACATTTGAGCCTGGGCATGACTGCATCATAAACTCATCTACAATGCCACCCACCAGAGCACTTGGCCCAATGTCTTGTAGCGCTGTCAGTCCGAGTACACCATCCAGTATGTTCAATGTATCAAGGTGCACAAGCTCGATGGTGCAGATCAGGGCCTCGACTGGTGGTGACCCCGAGACAGGTTTTTCCTTTTGTGAACAGTATTTGCTTTAGGCAGGACATCGCTCATCTACATTAACCTTGAGGGTAAAGCTGCTCTGCTCTGGAACTTGCCAAACATCATTCCAGCCATTTTTATACCCGTTATACGCCTTCTGCCTCTAGTCACCAACAGCCAGCTAGCAGATCAGGATATCTGGGTTAACACTAACCCCAGGCATAGAGCAACACATTAACTAACCAGTTTTCTATCAAAATTGGACTCCAAAAGGGGAAAAAAACTCTAAGGCAGAAATAGTTATGAGTCATAGCACTGTGAATGAATGT